TCACCAGCCCGCAGTGCCCATCGTCAGCTTCACGGCTCCTTATTCTTGACGAATTTGTTTTGGTTCGCTGGATCACCACGCTGTATGAATCGCCCGCCGATGCGCGAAAATGGGTAAAATTGTATACGCGATATTCACGAACGGTGGCACAGCTTTTCCGGTGATCCTACCGGCTGCGCCAGTCAAGTTGCGGGAGCTGCCGAGAGCTTTTTAAAAACTAATTTAAAACTAATTAAAACTACGTGTTCACAGAGTGAGATGTGAATTTATTCTGACCATTGTCTTTTTACAATTCTTAATCCTAAGCTTACAGTCTACTTAAATTACTACATACTCAGCGTTTATGTATTTATGCTGATGGACGCTTTATACGTATTATGGGTGGTGCTGGTGTAACCATAACTAAGTGCTTCTTTCGAAGCTCCCTTCCTATGGGCTTCCCGAGAAATTATGCAATTGGATCACCAGCTTTCTTGGTGATCGGAGCATCAAGGTCGTTGTAGACGGTGCAAGCTCCGATTACAAGCCTTATAAATGTTGGTGTTCCAAAAGGCTGCGTGCTATCGCCAACGCTGTTTCTTCTGCATATCAACGATATGTTGCAAACCCGTAACATTCATTGCTATGCAGATGACAGCACTGGTGATGCTCTTTACACCGGCCGTGCCAATATTTCTCGGGAAAACGTCTCTGAGTACTGGGACAAACTTGTGTCTGAAGTCGAATCTTTGCTGAACAGAGTCTCGGAATGGGGGCGACTAAATCTAGTCCAATTTAACCCTCAGAAGACACAAGTTTGCGCGTTAACCGCTAAAAAGAACCCCTTTGTCGTATCTCCTCAGTTTCAAGGCACTCCCCTTTTTGCCTCAGCCAGTATCGGAATTCTCTGCGTCGACATATCGAGTGACGTGCAGTTTCGTGGTCACTTGGAAGAGAAGGCCAAATTGGCTTCTAAAAAGCTTAGCGTGCTCAGCAGAGCGGGACAGTATTTCATGCCGGCACACCGCCTGCAACTTTACAAGGCGCGGGTCCGGCCGCACATGGAATACTGTTCCGATCTCTGGGCTGGAGCACCTCAGTACCAGCTCCTTCCACTTGACCGCATCCAGTGCAGCGCGGCTCGAATCGTCGACGACCGAGTGCTTTCCGATCTGCTCGATTCACTGGCGTTGCGAAGAGATGTTGCATCTCTTTGCGTATTTTATCGCATCTATCACGGGGAATGCTCTGAGGAGTTGTTCGGATAAATCCCAGTTTCGTGAACGCACTACGCGGCAAACGTCCCGTTACTATCAACACCATCTCGATACTTGGCCTTCCACCACTGTACGTTTCAGAAGGAGTTTTTTTCCGCATATGACCTCTCTGTGAAATAGTTTATCACCGGCGATTTTTCCGGAGCTATACGACGACTTTGTTCTTAGGGGATGGAGGTAAGTGAAAGTCACATTCATACCCAAACCAGGTAAGAACGACTATACAGACCCTAAATCCTACAGACCCATTAGCCTCACATTCTTTCTCCTAAAGATAATGGAGAGGATGTGTGAACGGGAGTTGAGAGAGTCGGCGCTAATTAACTTACCGCTATACGAAAAACAACACGCCTATAGCACTTCACCATATAATAACAAAGATTGAAGAGGCCATCCAAAACAAAGTAATATGTCTAGGCTCCTTCATAGATATAGAAGGTGCTTTTGACAGAACAAACTCCAGCATAAAAGGTGCACTAAGTAGACACAATGTTGAACCGGCACTGATAGACTGGATGGTAAACATGCTCAGTACATGGACAATAAAGATAAGATTGCTGGTGAATCTCAGGCAATTCAGATTATGAAAGGATGCCTGCAGGGTGGGGTTCTTTCACCTCTCCTGTGAAATGAAGGGATATGGTCATTAATGAACTCATCAGCAAATTAAATGCTAATCATTTCTAGACAGTTGGTTATGCAAATGATCTGACAGTACTGGTCTCTGGAAAGACAGTAAGCATTGTGTGCGACCTGACCCAAGCGTCTTTCCGTATTTTGGAGTGATGGTGCAGGAAATATGGCCTAACCGTTGATCCAAATAAAACGGTTCTAGTAATGTTCATACAAAAACGAATGCTGAATAACTATCGTCTCGCAAGTCTTTTCAGCACAAAACTCCAGCTATCCTCCGAGGTAAAAATTATACTGTGACTGTACAAAACTGTAATTAATTCCGCCCATGATCACACACGGCTCTCTGGTATGGTGGACTAAAACTAATGAAGCCACCTGATACGAAAGCTTCAGCATTGCCAGAGATTGGCTTGTATGGCTACCACGGGCTGCATAAGAACTACACCAACAGCAGCTTTAGGGGCTATACTGGAGCTAACACCGCTTCATCTACGTATACAACAAGAAGCAACTTTAGCTGCCATTAGACTCAAGACCCTAAATCTTTTAAGTAAGATAGAATTTACTCAAAAATTCCTATCTTACAAGCCAAGTATGATAGAGTCCCAAAACAATTTGTATTCGATAAGAAGTACAGGATACAATTGAAGGAAGCTGACCAGCTGGAAGGATTGGGACCAAAAGAGCTCAGAGTTTTCACGGATGGTTCTAAGACAAATGAAGGTGTGTGAAGACCTTAATATCCACATATGCACACCGCTGGGTATCCATAACACAGTCTTCCAGACTGAATGCATGGGTATCATCCAAGCGGCCATAGCAATAGATGCTAGGAAAGTGAAAGACTTCTCCATCAAAATACTGACCGACAGTATGGCAGTACTACAAGCTCTGAGTTGTAATGTGGCGAACTCGGGACTGATATATGAGTGCTATCAACGATTGAATGAGGTATGTAAGCACAACAATGTGACTGCAATGGATCAAGGGACACAGTGGATCTAGAGGCAATAATACGGCAGATGAACTGGCCAGAAGGGGATCGGCTCTAGCCACTATAGGGCCGGAACCTATAATACCAATCCCCTTTGGCTACGTTCGTTCACCGGTACGTAGATACTTCAATAATTTACATGCTCAGCTTTAGAAAAATTTTTTAGACTGTAGACAAGCTAGGGAGGCCCTGCCTGAAATACACAGTTGTCTAACCAAGGTTCTAATGAGACTGAACTAGCCACAGATCAGGATAGTAACAAGTGCTATCACAGGACATGGCACGTTTAACAAACATTTGTTTACCATAGGTGTTACTGATAGCTCCCTGTGCAGGGCATGCATGGGAGAGGAAGAAACGGCGGCTCATGTGTTACTGACATGTCCAGAAGTCGCTTCATACAGGGCTAAACATCTCGACATGCCGGGATCGCTCCCCGAAGTTGCTTGCAACATCAAGGGGCTGTTGAACTCCTTTGGGATGATATCATGGCTCGAATAATTACATTATTCCTGCCCACACACAAATACGCGCTTAGACGTGGAGTTGCGGAAAACAGCCCGTCGTAAACTAAACTAAACTAAGCTAGTTGATAACTAATTGTTGCATATTTTTTAATATAATGACATTTACTTCGTAAGTTTCTGAGCTTGTATACTTTTCTAATACATGTTACGCTTTTACACCCTAAATGTATACAATGTCAATGTTATATATTCATAGTCATTTGTATATACTAATTATGTATGTATTTAAATATATATATATATATATATACTTGTATGTATATCCATTTATTTATATATTTGTATATATGTAAGGATAGATCATATATGTATAGTTTATTTATTAGTAGTTTGTATATATTATGTAGTTAATTATCATTTGTATAGTGTTCTCTTATTGCCACACCTACATCAAATTCTCACCACTCCATGGGTTGACTGGTAGAGAATGCCTCAAGGCATTAAGTCCGCCCTTTGTATTCTTTTGTTTAAGGATGCAATAAAGAATAAAATAATTAAATAAATAAATGTCAGAACATGTCGGTTCTGGCCTTGTATAATTTCTTAACTAATTTACTGAATCAGCGTTAGAAAGTATACGCAACTAGTACGCAGAAATCGTGTATATTTTCTGAAAATTTCATTTGCTACACATTCTGAAAACATACAGTGCAAGAACACTATGAATGCGTGCTGTCCTTGTATACTTCAATATACGTGATTAATACTGCGCTTTGCCAGATCTCTCATAAAGGTCATGTGTCTCAGACCTTTTAGATCCTCTCTACTAACACCCTATATCAGATTAGTAAACATCTCTCGGTTAGAAAGCTTTATGTTCTTAACCTATTTTCTAAAATGTCATAAATCTGTACCGTTTAATGAATCCCTTCAAAAAAAGAGAAGAACTGATATTGTGGCCCCTACACCTCTTGTATGTACTGTCTTTGCTGGTAGACAGTACCCATGTCCGTCTGCTTTTATATATAATATATAAATTATTCGGAAAATCTACTGCCACTTATGAAAAACCACTTAAAGATGAAACAGTAAAATATTAGGGCAAGGGCAAGCAACTCTTAATTTAAGAGACATTACTAAATAATACAGTATTGTCTGCAATATTATGTCGAAAAAATTGTAACTGATGATATTTGTATGTATATTATAAACACTCACTCTTGCCACCCAGAGGGGTAGTCAGAGACTATGCATTTCTCTTTGGTACAGTCCTAACACATCTCTCTTGCCTTCTTTATATTTATATATCTGCATATGTGCTGGTTGCTTGCGGATACCCAAAATTTGGCCCATCTACAATATATTGCTAATAGAGGGTCGATAAACTTCCATCAAGGGTATCCCTTGCCTACTCTGCCGTTCACTTCTGCGGGATAAATATGCTGTGTCACTTTCCTCATCCATTCTTTCTACATGACCAAACCGTTGGAGTTTACTTCGTAATCTTGATCACAACATTATCTTGCAAACCACACTTTTGTCTTATCACTCAATTTTAACCCTGTCATTCCCATTCATGTGCGTGCCCACTTTGATATTTTTGACTTTCCAAAATTTCAAAACCTTTATTTAATATTTTTTCGACAGGTGTATATAAAAATGATGTATAAAACCAGCGGTCAACTACGCAGGGTGAAGTTATCGTTCGTCGATCTGGCAGGAAGTGAACGCGCCTCCGCTTCTGGATGTAGCGGTGACCGGTTCAAAGAAGCGGCTAATATAAACAAGAGTTTACTGTCTCTTGGAAATTGTATAAATAAATTGGCAAATGGTAGCCGCTATATTCCCTACAGGTGAGTAAAATTATGTAAAGAATATGGCCCAAATAGTCGTCAGACAGTAATAAAACTCCTGTTTCATCCACCACCATCAGACACACATGAGATGAGACCTACAGGATATCCCATATCTATTTAGAAAATTTATTAAATTCATATTTTTTCTTAAAGATCATCATATTGCAAAGGACAATTACCTAATTATTCCCAGTATTTTCTGCTTTGGTGTCATATTTCACATATAAACTAATGATTATTTTTAAAGAAACAAGTGGTAAAATTAAAACTTTTGTACAATCTACTTCAATATAAATAAGATAAGAACATTATCATTGTAGTCGAAGTCAATTAAATATGCATTATTATTATTAAACATAACTCAAAAACTACTTGTCAGATATTTATCAAATTTATATGAGACCACATACAAGCACCAGCAATGCACAAGCACCAGCTTACAAATAAAAAAAAAAGAATCATCAAAATCGCTTCACCTAGAAAAAAGTTATGAAGTAACCATACATTGCAAAAAATACAGTCCAATTGGGTGGTTGCGCCCACGCACACCCTTGCATTTTGTATTTGTTGATGTGTTTGTTAGTTGGGTTGGCTTTCATAATCTTCCCTCGCTTCCGTTCCTTCCCAATGCAATGATCATGGTGCCTGCATAGTTGTCAAGAGAGAAGCCGCTCGCCGCTTTCCTCTGGTAAGTGCCCATCCCTATTATGAGCTGTTTTATTTGTTGTGCCTTTATCCGCAGCAGCTCATCTCCCGTCGTGTCAGCCAACGTGTCAAACTAATTTCAAAGCAAGTATATTGTCCAAAGTCCGCCACGTGCCACGTCCGCCATTTTGTTTTGGTTCCGCTAATACAGTCCACTTGAACGTTCGCCCCGCCATACCTTTGGCCACTTTTCGCGCACCCATTAGGTACCTCCTCCTTTTAGAAGTCGGTTAAAAAGGAGATTATGATGGTGAATATTAAAAAGTAAGGGATAATAATTAATGTAGAAATTCTTCCTAAATGGATAAAATCATAAGATTTATTTTTTACAGAGACTCAAAACTAACTCGTCTTTTAAAAGATAGCCTCAGTGGCAACTGCAAGACCGTTATGATTGCAAATATATCACCATCATATGCAAGCTACGAGGACACATACAACACACTAAAGTATGCAGCTCGGGCAAGCAAAATACAACTGAATGTGAAAAAAAACATAGTTGATGGTGATTTAAGACCACCTCAGAGCGTATCGATTAATGAAGAACTAAGGAAGAAGGTTATAGAATTGGAAGCAAAGTTATCATTATCCAATGTTAAGCCTATAGTAAAAGAAGATAATGAAAATAGTAAGTAATAATTTTATGATCAATTTATAAGGGTGATTTTCTTGTGACTCAATTGGCTCTTATGGATATTTTATTATAATGTAAAATTAATTAAATTCACAACAGTCATGTCATACTGGTGTATGTGTTAACTAATTTTATTAGGTGGCAGGAGTCCTCTTTTGTATAGGAGACTATCTGGTACCACTCTTATCTATCTTTTTTGTCTCATATTATACAAGACAAGTGATGTATCTGTCGCAACAAAATGGTTGAAGCTGTGATATAGATATATACGGGAACATAACTTTGATGTGAGCATGATCTATTTACAGTGAAATCTCTATAACTCGAATGTCAAGGGAAATCCAAAAAAAATCGAGTTAACGAGTTTTCGACTTAACAAGATCTTCGAGATGCATATGATTTAACTACTGAAATTTCGACTTACAGAGGGACGATTTCTAAGTATAGTTATAGTTAGTTAACTGCCAAAATAAATACTGACGGACAAGCTCCGCTAAAAGTAATCGTGTCCTGTGTCGACAAGGAACAAACATTACCTTCACAGCTGTGTTACATAGAAAATTTTATATACGTGTATAAAACAAAAACAATAGATTAGAAGCCTGAACCCGGACATCATTTTGGATTTTATTGCTATTATTTCGGGGAATTCCAAGTAAGACGTCATTATGTATTACTAACGACGACTTACGGAGTCTCCTTTTTGAAATTCGAGTTATAGAGTATAATTATGTATTATAAATACTTCGTAGGGAAATAACATTTTGGGGGTTCAGCGGAAGGGAACGGCAATTTTTTTCGACTTACTGAGGATTTCGACTTAACGAGGTTCGAGTTATAGAGATTCCACTGTATATAACTATCATACTAGAGTAATTTAGGGAAATAATTATAAGTATATTTTAACTAAGAATGTTAGTCAAAACTGCTTTTGACTTATACCTTTTAAATTTAAAAGTTCAATTCATTCAATATTATATTTTATATCATTATAATGTACCTGGCTTTAGGGTGATCCAAGGGTCACCCCAGCCGCACCTTAAACCTAGTGTCAAAAAATTTACATTAACAACAATACTACAAGAACTGAAGAACCAAAGTCAATTTCGCAGAATTAGTTGGGGGACTCTTTTTTTACTTTTATTTTTTCGGCTGCTCTTTTCCAGTTGCCTACAGATGCTTTCTTTGGTCCTGAATATTTTTTTGTTGTTACGTTAATTGCACAACAGTTGCGACAACAACAACACACAACACAACCTTCACCACGTAACAATTGTCCACAATCAACATGAACATTTTCTATACGAGTGTGCTTCTCTATATTCAGGCTACAAATATAATTATTTCACTAGATTAGTTTAATAAGATAGTTAGGAACCACTGTCATATCACTATATTCCGGTATATAGCTATATCACTAAGTATATATCATGGCTTTAACCATCTTAATGCGACATATCTACACCATAGCCATTTGCGCAAGAATTCTTCCCTCGCTTTCATACTCAAAAGGGATGAATTGACTCAATCAGAGCGAGATTAGGCGCAAGTTCAACTTTACGGGCTGCTACTGAGAATTTCTTGGCAGCAAAACCCAATAACTGATTTACAATAACTGACACAAGGATATTTCTTCTTTTATCTATAGATCTTTTTCGGTTTATTTCTTTTGGTAATAAATTGAAATTCACCAAATATAAAGTCCAAGTCAATTAATCTAAGACACTAATGCATAAACAATATATAAACACTAATACACTAAAAATTAGAACGAATATGACAATAAAATAAAATAATATATATTTAAGTAGAGCAACTTTCACGATATGCTCCGCTCAGTCCATAAGAGCTGCACGAGGGAAAGAGATCAACCATGCGAGCAGGAGTTAAAGTAACGTTGAGCAACACTGCACAAGTTTGAACGCCGAGAATTCCCAGCGGAACTGGGAGAATTTTCACGCGTTTCTGGTTTATAAAGTGCATATATTTATAAAGTGCATTGCCCCCCGGACCGCTGAGTAGTTCAGACGTGTTACACTAAATCCCTATTTTATTTTATTATAAATATTTAAATTAAAGTTTCTATTACGAAAATTGAGTTAAAAAAATAAGAGTGCATAACTAAGAAGAGTTTGCGACCCGGCGCCGGTAGATTGCCGTGCTGACTCATACGCTGCATCAACGCCGCCCATCTTTATCCTGCTGCCCGCCCCCAGAGGTGTCACGAAAATCAACCAATTCTTCTACGCTTGTAGGAGGTACGTGTTAATTGTGCAGCGCTCCTTGTGCCTTGGCTTAGTCATTTTTTGTGCTTACTAGCTGCTCACTGCGGCGAGACTTATACTTCCCTGGTACTTGTACGTTTAAACAGTTGCGATGCCACTAAAACGGTCGCTGCCGATAAATCCGTCGACGTCACGTAGTCCTTCATTACAGCACTGTGACTCGGAACCAAATTTAAAATCAACAGAATGTGAAGCTTATATCAACACAGCGGTTCGAAAGAGAAAATTTTCCAATAACTTGTCTGATGAATTCTCCGCCATCCAGGATAAGTTTACTGACATGTTTATGTCTCTCAAGAGTGAACAGGACTCTAAATTATCAAAAATCTTAGATTATGTCGGTTATATTAAACAACAAAATGATGATATCAGGGAATCTATTACGTTTATGGCTGAAAAACATGACACTTTATTGTCGAGTGTATAAAGTTTACAAGAAGAAAATAAAGCATATCGGAAGCGTATAGAAATGTTGGAAGAAAAAGTTTAAGGGCTTGAAAGATCTTCACATGCTTCTCGCATAGAATTGCGTAATGTCCCTAAAAAGGACCGCGAAACTAAAGAAGACCTACTAAATATTTTGGTAAAGACAGGTGAAGTGCTTGGATCGACCTTACAGCATTCAGATGTCAGAGATATTTTTCGAACAAATCAAAAAAACGACAGTAATAAAATCATAGTAGCTGAGTTCACCAGTAACATTACCAAGCAAAGATTTATCGCTAATTTAAAGGAATACAATAGGAGAAATAAGAACAAAAAATTGACTTCGACCGACGCAGCCATTGCGGGCCCTCCTACTCCCATTTTCATCTCTGAAAATCTTCCCCAGAAAACAAGGCGATTGTTTGCAGTAGCCAGAAATTTCCGAAAGGCAAATAATTATGCACACTGCTGGACATCTGCTGGTAGAATATTCCTAAAAAAACATAAAAATATATATATATATATAAAATAAGCCTATACTAGTAAAATACCAAGAAGATATTAGCAAAATACCGATCATTTGACTGCTTTTATTTGTTACTATTTCAATTTATTATGATATTATATGTCTGCCTCTGTTTTTGTCTGTATACATACGTTGCAATTTGTAAAATTTTTGTCATTTAGTTAATCGATTTTTAACTTTTTTTGCTTTTGTACGTCGATACCACAACACAACACCAAAACTACTTACATCACGCCACTCTCATATCATATTTAAACAATATACTCATCTTAAAAATAACGCGCACAGTATTAAAATTCAACATCTACATGGCCAAGTTTCTTTAACCAATTTTTACATGTTTTTAAAAATAAAAAGTACATTTACTCAACAACTAGCGTCTGTCATAATTACGGTTCTGGAGAACAATAAAAACCATATTTATATAGGTTATAATTTGTGTCCAAGTATTAACTTGTCTAGGAATAGCATAGTATTATTAATTTGTTTACTATTGATTCAAGTCAATTTTGGCTACTTTATTAAAAAAGAAAAAGTGAAACAACTTTAAATTAGCGATAAATCTTTGCTTGGTAATGTTACTGGTGAACTCGGCTACTATGATTTTATTACTGTCTTTTTTTTGATTTGTTCGAAACATATCTCTCTGTCTGAATGCTGTAAGGTCGATCCAAGCACTTCACCTGTCTTTACCAAAATATTTAGTAGGTCTTCTTTAGTTTCGTGGTCCTTTTTAGGCACATTACGCAATACGCAATACGCATACTACTAATGTATCTTCCATGTCGTTCGTGGTGAGAAATAAATAAATTATTATTATTATTATATAGGTAAAAAATACGAATATATATATATATATATATATATATATATATATATATATATATAATTTTATTTATTTCTAATTAATTCTTCTAATTAATTGTGGTTTTAAGTACGACTTTGCTACATTTATACTTCTAATAGAATAATTAGATTAAATAGATTATTGCAGTAAAAAAATCATGAAATTACAACTTTTTAAGCCCTTCAAATAAGAAAATTAAAGCATATCTTAAAACAGTGACCAAATTAGATTATTGTCAACAATATATGAATAAATGTGATCTGAATATTTTTCTCGATATTGTTATAGTTTGTCTATAGCAGAGGCTTTAATAAGACCTTTTACGCATGTAACCTAAACACAGGCATGTTTAACGCCTAATAGAGCTATTAATTTAAACACCAAAATTATATTAAAAAATAGTTTCGAAAATCTCAAATCCTGCACTTTAAATAAATGTAAAATATGTTTCACTTTTTCTTTTTTAAATACTACAAAAAGTATTTGTTTTGCTGTAAATTTTGCGAGAACACTAATTTTTACAAGATTAGGCCCTTAAGTAATAAGTGTAATGAAAAGCTAAACATGAGTAGAGTGACTCTAACAAAATGCTATGTTACAGTTAAACTTGAGTGGCAACGGCGCATATCTGAAGCGTACGCGGTACAAAGTATCCTGGAAAAAGAACTACTGGAGCTGATGACGAGGCAGCGAGTGTTAGCCTTCCGTCACCGCTTGCATACGCGTGCATTCAGTCACATTGCCGATTTGGCTCGTAGTTCATCCTCTGAAGCTCTAGAACAGGTATGTCGTATTTTCTGTGCTTGGAGAAACAAAAGCCATTTAGTAGCTCTTTAAATCCATCCATTACCCTATCTGTCAGCATTTTTTTAAAGTTCTCAAGACCACAGTAATGGTAGAGTAATTGATTATATATCTTAATATATATAAATTACGTGTCACGTTGTTTGTCCGCAATGGATTCCTAAATTGCTTAACCGATTTCAATCAAATTTGCACACCGTGTGCAGTTTGGTCCAACTTGAGAGATAGGATAGTTTTTTTGCCCATGAGTGACCAACAGTTTTTTTTGTGAATTTAAGGATTTTTAATAGGACATGACAAAGGGTCGTCGCAAAAGGCAGAACGACGTCTGCCTGGCAAGCTAGATATATATATATATATATATATATATATATAATTGGCGGCGCTGTCGTCGCGCCGCAAGCGAAACACACTGAAGCCTAAATCACGCTATCAATATTCCGAATCATAAACAGTATATAATCTCCGAACTATCATACGGAGCGTTGGCCGCTCCCCGGGAAGAACACCTTGCCCGGCGGGAGATCTCCCCTTTTCTTTCACGGCCACAATGGTGACCCCGACGTGATCCGAACACGATACCAACAACCTTCGGAAACTTCAAGCTCCATCATCGTCACAGAATACCCCACCCATTCGCTCCCGAGCAGATATCGTCTGCAATCTTCATATCCTGCAAGCCATCTAGCTTCACAAGGTTCATCGCAGCACTGGAATAATAATGCTTCCTGTTCCTCCAAGCTACTCTCTGCGCTATACAAGTGTTCGGCACGGCTCTGAGCCTTACCGCTCGCCTCTGCTTCACGGCACTCTCGCCGATTACTTACCTTCTTCTCGACTCACGGCAGACTTCAAGGCAATCTCCTGGCACTTGCACATTCCTCGGCAACGAGGCTGCACTATCGACCTCCGGTCTGAGCAGGGGGGTGTTGTGGCGGTGCTGTCTTCGCGCCGCAAGCGAAACACACCGAAGCCTAAATCACGCTATCAATATTCCACGATTATTATATCACACGAAGCATAACACCTTGCCCGGCGGGAGATCTCCACTTTTCTTTGTATATATACACATATATAATATATATATATATATATATATATATATATATATATATATATATATATAGACAGGAAACAGGAAGGAGATGGGCAGCAGCATCTGCCTGATAACAGCAACTATACAACAAAAAAAGTGCGGTTGGCAACCCAAATTAACGGCCCGACGCAAATAAACGGCCCCTGGTCCCCGGTGGCCCCGTTATTCCTAGCTACGGTGATGACCATGGTAACGGCGGGGCAAGAGGTGCTAAGAATCTCCAGTGGAGGTTCGGTTGCCACCTACGACGACTCGTCACGGTAACATATAACGCACGCACCCTTAGTAGTGACGAGAAGATCCTGGAGCTAGAAGAAGAGATAGACAAGTTGCGCTGGAATATTATAGTGATTCTCTAATCAGGCAACTTGTTCTATCACCGGGAGGGCGACCATCTGCCCCAAGGAAATGTTGGATTTATCGTCCACAAGCTCTCGTTAACAATGTTGTAAAGATCTGATTCAGAATCACCAAACGGTATCCGCTGAAGGTCATACAGGTTTACGCATCAACGTCCGCACATCCCGATGAGGAGGTAGAGGAAATGTATGAGGATATTTCCAGAGCCATGCATTCCTCCAAAACGCACTTTACAGTGTTAATGGGAGACATCAACGCAAAACTAGGCACAAGTAAGCATGGTGAGATGAAAGTAGGGAAATTTTGGATAGGGCAACGGAACCCAGGGGCCAGCAGCTGACCGACTTCAGAGAAAGAGGGACTCTTTATGATGAACTCTTTCTTCCAGAAGCGGCCCCATAGGAAGTGGACCTGGTCGAGTCACGACGGTTCGACAAAAAATGAGATTGACTTCATTATGACAACTAAACGGCAACTGTGTCAGTGATCGCAAGGGTTAAAACTGACAGCACGGTTAGAGGCACTCTGAACCTCTTTAATGAAGTCTAGGCTCTGCCCCCCTCGTGCTCTAATCTAAAATCCCGAAACCTTTCAGCTCGAGTTATAAAACCGTTTTCAGTGCCTAGACGCTTGCAATGCAGTAGATGATATGAATGACAAGCTCGTGGAAACTGTCCATACGGTCTGAGCTAAGTTCTGCAAGAACCTGCGCAGAAGAACACAGAAACTTTGCGATCACACTCTTAATTTCGTGGCTGTTAGACGAGAGATGAAGCTGCAGTCGTCAGCAGCTTTGACAGCATACAGACAACTGAACAGACAGATCTACAAATACATACGGGGAGACTTACGCAACTTTGATGTTGCTCGTCTTGAAGAAGCGATCGAGCGGAACCCGGGCTTCAAAGTCCTTGCCCCTGCCAGAGATCTGTCCGCTATAAAGAGCCAACTGTCAAAGCTGAAGACAGAGTGTGGCAGCATCGTTCCCGGGACACCTGAGATTTTGAGTGAGATTGAGAGGTTCTATGGACAGCTGTACACATCATCGTTGGAGCCACACGCAAGTGTAAGAAACGACCCAAGAGCAAGTCGTATCCCACAATATTCCGATGATATCCCGGACGTCAGTCTGAGCGAATAGAATAGAATAGAATATTTTTTTATTCAATATAGATTACAAGTAATTCTTATTGAAAGTCAATATTTTACATTACAACTGCGAGATTATTAGAATGGCTCTCGAGCACCTTAAAAACGGCAAAGCCCCAGGCGAGGATGGAATTACAGCGGAACTTCTGAAAGCGGGTGGAACATCGGTACTTAAAGTTCTTCAGAAGCTCTTCAATTCTGTCCTCAATGGTGGCACTACTCCGGAGGCGTGGAGCGGAAGTTCGGTGGTCTTGTTCCTCAAGAAAGGCGACAACGCTCTCTTGAAGAACTACAGACCAATTTCCCTTCTGAACCGAGTCTACGTGCTGTTTTCGAGAGTCATTACGAATCGTCTCTCACGCCGATTTGACGACTTCCAGCCTTCCGAACAAGACGGTTTTCGAAAAGCTTCAGTACCATAGGCTACATATATACCCTGTGGCAGATTGTACTAAAGACCGAATAGTACAATTAGCCGCTTTGCCTGGCGTATGAGAAAGCCTTTGATTCCGTTAGGCGGTGTTACAGTCCCTGCAGCGGTGCTAAGTTGACTGTCGGTATTTCGAAGTGCTGAAGTGTTTGTACAGTAGGGCTGCGATGGCTATCCGAGTACAGAACCAGAGTACGAAACCTATCCAACTACAGAGAGGTGTAAGACAGGGTGACGTTATATCCCCGAAACTATTCACTCACTAACACACAGTGCATCACTGACTTTCGATTTGCCGACGATATAGTCCTAATGGCAGAATCGCTGGAGGACCTAAGCACTATGCTCAATGACCTCAATAGTGTCTCCCAACGGATGGGTCTTAAGATGAACATGAACAAAACAAAGATCGTGTTTAATGTCCATGTCACACCTATGCCGGTAGTTGTTGGGAACACTAAGTTCGAAGTTGTTGACGAACACGTTTTACCTGGGACAAATAGTCCGACTAGGTAAGTCCAACTTCGACCGAGAGGTCAATCGACGTATTCAACTCGGCTGGGCAGCGTTCGGAAAATTACGACACATCTTCTCGTCAGGTATAAGTATCTCAAAACTTGTAAACTAGATTATACAACCAGTGCGTGTTGCCAGTGATGACTTACGGATCTGGGACGTGGTGCTTCACTGCTGGCCGTATGAGGATGTTCAAGGTGCTATGGAGAGGGCTGCGCTCGGGGTTTCTCTGCGTGATAAACTTACAAATGAGGACATCCGCAGTAGAACGATAGTGACCGACATAGCCCAACAGATTAAGAGTAAGCTGAAGTGGCAATGGGCTGGCTATATAGCTTGAAGAACCGATAACCGTTGGGGAAAAAAGGTTCTCGAGTGTCCCCCACTAGTTGGGGTGACGAACTGGTAAGACATGCAGGAAGTCGATGGATGCAGGTGGCTCAGAACCGTGATTTGTGGCATTACTTGGGGGAGGCCTATATTCAGCACTAGACTTGTGAAGGGCTGTAATGATATATATAATGTGTGTGTGTGTGTTTGAAAAATCTTGTATAATAGCAATGAAAAGTAAAGGTTTTAGAATATCTAAAATTAAATATCATGATAAAAATAACCTTTTTTTCACACCTCAGGCCAACAAAGTAATATAAGAGATACGTTTCATTTGATACCAAAATCATGCCACCAGCCTCCACACTTACGCACACATCTTTCTTCATTTTTTAATTGCCCATAAATGTTCACTGCTGGACACATATGCATATCTAAAATAATGATAGTATATTAATAATGCCGTGTATTTTAACTCGGTGATAATGATATACTATATAAAAAATCCTGTCCAATCTGAAAAAATAAAACATCATTATAATATAATTAATGAATATAGAAATTCTATTTTTAAAATCTGGCAACAACATTATCTGCGACGGTTTTTTGAACGTGTGGTTTGCGTAAATTTTGTTTTCTTACTTACTTTGAAAAGTACCTTCACGGATCGGACAAAATTTTTTGACATACTTTATATTAATAGTTTTTTGATCTGCACTCCAGTAGAAAAATTTCATAATTTTTGTTATGAATATAAGCAATCGGTTGCGACTTATCTAAGCGTGATTATTATTGCAAGTCTTCTCAATTGTATCAGAGCCCCGTGTCTAAATGTAGAGTGGTTAACGACAAGTGTTTAAAATAGATTAGATTACAAGGATTTTTTTCTTCTAGGTTGATACGGAAGATATTTCATGCCAAGAAAGAGCGGCAGAGAACTATGCTGCAAAATCTGTGAAGTTGGATACTAAAATCAAATTCTCATGGATTAAATGGCACGAAAGTCGACAGAAAATGCATGATATGTTCAATCAGGCTCTTAGTGAATGCCCTGAGCAGCGCGACTTCGTTGAAAAAGTAAAATTACAAAGCGAAATGAGAATTGTCAGAGCTCGTAATAACCTTGGACACCAATTATTGTATATGTTGAATGAGAAAGTAAATACCCTCACAGAGCATGTGAGCGATATGTCTGGTATGCTAAAGAAACTATATTCGACGCTTAAAGGATACGACAAAGCAACTCCTGCGTTAGAAGCGGAGTATTTCGAAATAATGAAAAAGGCTAAATCGGCCGAAGGTAAAACTTGCTCAGACGAAGACAGTGAGAGCGATTTCAAATTATTTTCAACTTTAGATCTCGAAAAACTTATGACAACCTCTGACTTCAATATAGCTTTAAAGAAATATGCTAACACGACTATCGACATTGCGACTGACAGTGAAGACATCGAGAACCCCGATCCCTCACAGTCTCTGGCCAGAAAACGTAAAGGAACACCGATAAAACTTGCAAATAACGAGATAATAATAATCAACGATTCGCCAGAATTGTTAGACACAACCATAAATTCGAAATCTGCGATTATGAAGCCTGATGTAAACCTGCCAGTAAAGAAAAAACTCCTGTCGAAGAGTAGAGAGACATATACAATACAGAGGAACTTGAATCTTCTTAATGATAAAGGTGAGATTTTTGTAATTTATATTGTTATGAGTAAATGTATAATTATAATCCGCGCGCGTTCATAATTTTTATATTTTTGAGTTAGGAATGCGATATTTTAAAACCTGAGGCACGTGGTGGCTGCCCGCCACGTGTGGCGGTTTTTACTGTTTATTGCAATTCGGCATTTTTGTTGGAGCTCAATTGACTGACACGAACTTTTGTGGAATGGTGCACGAAGCGGAGCAACTAGTTTCATATAACGGCTATGATGCTCTCGTACCTTTTACAGAGGGGTATGCTTTGCGATGCCGCCTCGTAATGATAACTTGAAAAATTTCGTAATAAAACTGCACATTATGTTCTGTGACGTCTCGACATTGCCTAATATGGCGGACAGCGTTTTGCAGATTTGAGGCACGGACGAAAAATTATATTCTTAAAATTAAATATAAAATTTATAATGCAATTTTATAAACAGAAATCAATATTTCTCGTTTGCTTTTACAAAATCTATCATAAATAATATTTTTTTAATTTTATTTTACATGGTGTAAAATACCCTATTATGTGTATATTTTTTTCGAAGTGTAGATGACATGAATGTATGAAATACGCGTTGAGGGCGAGCAAGCAGAGGAAAACTTTTAATGTTTATTTTGGCCAATAAATAAGAGCAACCAATTTTGTTATTTAGAATTTTAAATATGAAAATAATATCGAAATATATAGTGAAAAATAAAAATAACCTTATTTTTAAATTTCCGTAGCGGCTAAAATCGTCAAGCCTGTAGTGGATCTAGGCGTACCGTTGCTCCGCGTTCCTCCAACCATGAAAGGAAACCGACCATTGCCAGGTTCGAGCTCTAGTCTAACGGCATCTAGTGGCATTCCACTGCAAAGGAACGGCAAGGTAATTGTACAATATTATTATGTAATGATTAATTTATTCATCTGGTTATGTACTGGTGTGGGTAGTAAATTTTTTTTATTTGGTATGGTTTGTGGTACAGCAATGCATTAGCATTTAGATTGTAAATAACTTATAATATAAAATACAAGAAAATGTCTACCTATGTCTGTTATAGACCTTGAAACTATCCAACCCATTTTGAGGAAATTATTTGTGTGTTTAAATGGGTTTCTAGATCGTTTGTATTTAAATTTGGACCCCGTAGGTTGCACTGTTGTCGACATCCAGAAATCATCCGAGGGAAGCTGGGCTGACCGATATATAATAACTCAAATGAGACAAAGTGTATACCATAGAATCATGGCTGAATTTAGTGGGGAGCAACAGACACTAAAGCCAAAGTGGCTATTGCGGTTCGTTGACATCTGCAGCCAACTTGAAACAAAGATGGCTATAGATCCGTGGTCACCACTGAGATGGAGACTAAGATGGAACTCTTTTCAGCCTGTAATTATACTGGCTTAATATATATATATATATATATATATATATATATATATATATATATATATATCCGCGGTGTCTATACCTGCAGCTGTACTAGCACTGTACTTGGCGGCAGAAATAAGTAGTACATACTCAGACAGATTTCTAGGCAAATTTAAATTGATATCATTATATCTGTCATATAAGATCCAAACCAATAGTTTTCTCATAATATGATAAAAGAAATTTGTCAGATGAATGTTGTCATGGTAGAAAGATTAGTCTTGAAACAATTTAATTGTCAATCATATTTGCATTAACTTAATGTAGTTTGAAGTGTTGTTTATGTCCTGTGAATGTGTGTATTTCACTTCTGGGCGGAGTACATAGTTTCCCACGTGAATGTTACGATTGCACATTCAGGATCTGCAATCAGTTAAGATGTGCAGTGGCGTTTCTTCTGTTATGGAACAGAACCGACACATCCTTGAGTTGCATAGTCCCAGGATGAACATGTGCATTTTAAGATAACAGTGTCCCTATAGGGCTCTTACCAGAATGCGCAATTTATTTTTACTTAATCCCAGGGATTCTGAAGTTAATTTTTTTTATAGGATAGGGTGACAAACGACCACACGGTCCACCTGATGGTGAGTAGTTCCTGTGGCCCATAGACAATCTACATCTATCCTCGATTACGAATCAAAATGCAGATGCGTTGTCACCCGTGAGGACTTAGATGGAATGCCTCGTTTCCAGTAAGGAGGATTTCCGGTTCTCTACATTCACCATACGAAACACAGCAGCATCAAGCTACTATTTGACGCTGGTATTCTGTTAGAGCGTGGTCCTTCCCCGGTCGAGCCGACCCATGCGTGCTACAATTATACTACTAATATAACTGCAGCATGGCTCCACCACTTATAAAAACATTAATCCAGGCTTGTAATTTACGATAAAAAGCCCGGATTAAGGTTTTAGAATGTTTCAAGCATGGCGTATCAGACCAGATCTTTAGTGATTTATTGTGATAAAGAGTTTCAAGGGTCAATCGGGCTGGGCTTCTTGAGATTCCACAAAATGGTTCAAGTCCAAATTGTGTACTCTTTGAGCCCACCCGTGCGATCTTATCAGCTAGCTCGTTGCTTATAATATCCGCGTGACCCGGAACCCATCTTAAGACGACCCTGTTGTTACATCCCAGAGCGTTTAAACGGTTCACGCAGTCTCCAACTAGCTTCGAGTTCGCTAAGTTTGACCTCGGCGCTAGCAGTGCTGCTTGTCTATCTGAAATTGTATAAATTATAAGGTTGACCTAGTACTATTGCAGATTGATTTCTGCACACTGAAGTATGACGAAAATTCCTGCCTGGAAAAGAGAGGTGAATGTACCCAAATTCATGCTAAGTTTGAATTTGGGGCGTTCCTCATAAATTCCAAAGCTTACGTCGAGGCCCATTTTTACCCATCGGTGTACCATAAAGTGTATAGTGGACGCATGATATCTGAGATCATGCATAAGACCGGTGTTTCCTTAATTGAGTCGAGCATGGATCTCAATCTGTAGGAGAGCAAACTCAAACCGCCCTGGGCGTTAAAACTATACAAACTAGCCTTCGCCTCCTTGGCGGATCAAGGGGCGTTAGGCATAGAAGTGTCAAGATGGTAGCACCCAACCATCTTATCTATTGAAATTTGGATGTTTTTTAATTTCAATAGCCTCGCGTATCATCCTGGTAGGAATCGATGTTCTTTTGCGAGAATTTGTGGTTTATCAAATCTAATGTAATGGTGGGGACGATCTTGAACATGTTCGCAGACTGCAGACTTCCCGGGAAGTCCAAGGCAAGTAGCACCCAACCATCTGCTTGGGATCCTATAATTAACAAAATTAAACCAAAACCCAAGCATACCGCTGCAAGACTTCATGATACTATAAGCTCGTTTTGCGTAAATCGGACCAAAAATTAATATTAAAAAAAAAAAAAAGGAGACCGACAAATACATGGGAGACAAAACCCCCCCCACCACCAAAAACAACAAGGGGAAAAAAAAAAAAAAAAAAAAAAAAAAAAATCCGTAAATAATAGTTTTATTCAATGTGTAGTGTTCGCGTAAATTTAAGAAATCATTATATTTCAACAATATTTACAAAAAGTTATATACGTAAACAGCGTTAAAACACTTTAACATTCAATCGCCTCCAACACGCTAGCCCTGACTACGTTATTTCGCCCGGGCGCGTCGCGATTTTAGGTAATTATTTCACGTAGGTAGCAAGAGTGATAGAGGCCTGGTATTGTTTATAATTTTTGAATAAAAAAGTGATGATGATCCCAGGCGATGATCCCACAGCTACAGTTGCCATTAAGCAGGCAGTTCTTTGTAGACTATTTAGTCTATCCGCAGTCGTCTTTTGGTTGGCTTTGTTACACCAGACAGTGGAGGCGTAGTTGAGGATCGGCCACACTATGCTGCTTTCCAGCCGTAGGACCATACGGGGACGCAAGTCCAAGTTGTTCCTGACCAAACGACTGCATGTACCTAGAGTAATTTTAGCCTTATGGCATATGTTGCTAAGGTGAGAGTTCTACGTTAGTTTTTGGTCGATTCTTACGCCCAAGTACTTCAACGGAAAATGGTACTTCTTAACCATTGAGTTTTGGTGTGACTAATTTGTTTAATAGTTTTTTTTTTGGTAAAGGGTATTATAACAGTTTTGTCAGCATTAACTGACAAACTGTTATAACTAAACCAATTATTTATGGCATTTAGGGCTCTTTGTATGATTAAAAATAAAGTAAATTCCCTCGCAATGATCACGAGGTCATCAGCATAACAACCTAGTATGTCAATGCGAAGCTTTGCCATCTTCTACAATAATTGGTCAACCGCAAGAGTCCAAAGAGGCAACCTAAATCGAAGTTTGAAACAGTGCTATTTTTGCCTTTCTGTTTGAGAGCATCTTCTTCACCCACATGATGGTTGTGGGTCAACATTTTTAGATGTCAGGCCCCCAATTAGCAGTTATATGGGGGCTACTGTAGAAGGTGCCCTCAAGATCTAGAAAGGCACAAATAGCTATTTATTTATCCTCCAGTGCTTTTTCGACCCTCAATAACACTGATCAGGGCTGTTTCTGTAGATTTGCCTCTGCGGTAAGCATGTTGGTTGTAATGTATGGGCATCGTAGCTAGAGCTACAACAACAACAACTACCTAATATGTAGATATCCCAGGAGAGCGCTTTTGGATCCCTAAAAGCAACGGTTTCATAGGTTGGTGATGCTCCAATCACAAACTTAATGTGTTTGTGATCAGACATCGAGTTTTCATTGCTACCATGCCAGTGCTTTATCCGCCTGGACATGTTATTGGTAGCAAAGGTTATGTCTAACACTTCTTGCCTAGCACGCGTTACAAAGGTTGGTGTACAACCTAAGTTTAAGCCTACCAGGCGGTTCGATATGAGAAAATCATAAAGTATGTACAGAAACGGGAGGCCGGTGCTCTTCAATGATTGATTTATTGAACGTTTGCTGGTTATATTTAAATCGTCTTATTGATAACAGTGTGTATCAGGTAATAATCAAATTTTAAAACAGACAGATCTTATAACTAATTGCACGACGTGCTGATTGGTCGCCGATAATGACGAGCTCTGATTCGTAGATAAAGTTTAGTGTTCCGATGCGTCGCTAGATGGCGTTAGTAGTCGCGCCAACAAAGTAACTTACATCTTTCATTGATGTTAGTGCTTCCCCAGGCTTTGTGGTGAGCATTAGCATCACAACCCACCACAAGTTCGGCGTTGTGTTTTCGGGTGAACTTCGCAACTCACTCTCCGAAGGTAGGCTGAGCAAATTATTACTCTGACCCTGTGCATCCCTTGAGATTTATGATGGCTGTAACCAAGTCATCGTTGCTGTACTCTGGAACAGCTAAAAGTGGCGGGCGGGGGACGGGCGAGGATCTCCAGAGCTCGGTATAGAGCCCTTCATTTTGTGCCCTCAACAGCACAGCCGCCTCCTCTGGAAAGTCAGCTTCGCTGCGAGGCAGATAGGTGATGCCTAGCTGAGGCTTAGGCAGTTCGCCCTCAAATATTGTCGAGAGCTCTGCCTCTGGTCAGGTTTTCACTTTTCTGATTCCACCCACAATCTAGTCCAGGCTTGCCTTATTCTGGCACGTTATCAGAATCCAACCTGGCTTGTGAGTGACACCTGAAAATTTTGGTCCCATAAACGGCTGCGCCTCACAGGCCGTCTTAGCTATGGCCTGTGTTAGTGCCCGGTGGACCAGCCGCATCTGCTACACGCTCATAGGACTCAAATGGCGAATTCCTACACGCGCGGAGCTAGTTACAACACTGAAATTGAGCTCCTTCTCCCCCGTTGCCGGCTTCACAGACTTCCTGGGCTGATCTTTGTGGAATTCTTCCTCAGACCGACTGCGTTTTTTCGCCTTCGGAACTGGGGGAGGTTTGGGCAGAGGAATTTCGTCCCAGGGCTTCTTTTTTATATAGAAGAGGGAGCAAACGAGCATGCGGCTCACCTGATGTTAAGTGACTAACGCCGTCCATGATCAACCGCAACACCAGGGGAATTTCAGGGGCGTTGCCGGCCCTTTAGAAAGGAGCAAGCTGTTTTCTTGAAGGTCTCCAGGTCGTATCGGTCCGGAAAAATCGCCGGTGGTAAACTATTCCACAGAGAGGTCGTACGCGGAAGAAAACTCCTTTTTGTGTGGATGGTATCGGGACGTTGACCGCGTAGTGCGTTCACAAAATTTGGCGGCTGGTATTAATCCGAACGATTCCTCAGAGCACTCCCCATGGTATATGCGAAAGAAAATGCAAAGAGATGCAACCTGTCTTCGCAGCGCCAGTGAATCGAGCCGATCGGAAAGCACTCGGTCGTCGATGATTCGAGCCGCTCTGCGCTGGATGCGGGCAAGTGGAAGGAGCTGGTACTGGGGAGCCCCAGCCCAGAGATGGGAACATGTGTTCCATGTGCGGCCGAACCTGCGCCTTGTAAAGTTGCAGGCGGTGTGCCGGCATGAAATACTGTCCAGCTCTGCTGAGCACGCCAAGCTTTTTAGAGGCCAATTTGGCCTTCTCTTCCAAGTCACCACGAAACTGCACGTCACTCGATATGTCGACGCCGAGGATTCCGATACTGGCTGAGGCAACAAGGGGAGTGCCTTGAAACTGAGGAGATACGACAAAGGGGTTCTTTATAGTGGTTAACGCGCAAACTTGTGTCTTCTGGGGGTTAAACTGGACTCCGAGACTCTGTTCAGCAAAGACTCTACTTCGGACACAAGTTTGTCTTTGTTTGTTTGAAACAGCGTTGGCGATAGCACGCAGCCTTGTGGAACACCAGCATTATTAGGCTTGTAATCGGAGCTTGCACCGTCTACAACGACCTTGATGCTCCGATCTGCAAGAAAGCTGGTGATCCAATAGTACAATTTCTCGGGAAGCCCATAGGAAGGGAGCTTCGAAAGAAGCGCTTTGTGCCAAACCCGATCGAAGGCCTTTGCAATATCCAAACTAACGGCCAATGCCTCCTCCTCGGACTCTACTGCCTCCGCCTATCTGTGAGTGAGGTAGACCAGAAGATCACCAGCTGACCGACCACGGCGAAAACTGTATTGGCGATCACTAATCAGCGGGTGAACCTCAAGGTACCTCATGAGCTGGCAGTTAACAATAGACTCCATTGTTTTGGAGAACAAATAGGTGATGGCGATATGCCGGTAGTTGGACGGGTCTTAGCGGTCGCCTTTTTTAGGGATCGGGTGGACGAAAGCCGTCTTCCATAATTTTGGTACTACGCCTAGGGAGTAGGAGTACCGGAAAAGACGCGTTAAAACCGGTGCCAACTCTGTAGCACACGTCCTCAGCACAATTGGGCGGATTCCGTCAGGCCCACTCGACTTGTTGATGTTCAGGGAGAGGAGTACTTTGCGAACCGAGCGCTGTGTAAACTGCACTTCCGGCATGGAGCACTCACACCGCGGGATGGTCGGCGGCGTACTCCCCCCGTCATCGACAGTCGAGTTGGACGCAAAGAAAGAGCCTAGCCGATCGGCTTTCTCCTTTGCGGTATGGGCCAGTGAGTCGTCCTCACTGTGTAGAGATGGAAGAGATGGCTGACAGAAATTCCCCTGGACAGCCTTGGCGAGAGACCAGAATGCACAGGTTCCAGAAGGAAGGCGAACTAGTTTCTCGCCAATTCGGCCTCTCTGACTCTGCCTTGGCAATGACTCTTTTGAAGGACCTAGAGGCGGAATATATCTTCTTTTTTAGAGCGCTGGTGTTTACATCCCGGGACGTTGATGCGTCAGCCCAGGCTTGGTAGCACTCCTGCTTATAGCATGATGCTATTTTACAGGAGCGACCAAACCATGGCTGAGATTTGCCTCCAATGTGCACCACAGAGGAAGGAATAAAAAGTTCCATATCCTGAAGTACCACATCAGCGACAGAATCCGCAACAACGTTGGGATCGTCCGGTGAGAAGCAAACCCGCTCCCAAGGGTAGGGTGCAAAGAAAATCCCATCCCAATCAGCTGACCTACGGCGGCGTGAGTGGCATCACACTCTGGACAATGGTCCGAGGAGCCTCAAGGGGCGTCGACGGAAATCTGGTATCCGTCCGGGTGAGAGGTCAGCAGAAGGTCCAACAGGGAAGGTGCATGATCCTCCACATCTGTAATCCGCATAGGCGAAGTAACCAGTTGTGCCAGATCATATGCCAAGGCAAAATCATGAACAGATCTCCCCGCATGATCGGTTAAACGTGAACCAAGCCATTCGGCATGGTGGGCGTTAAAGTTGCCGAGGATCACGATCTGTGCGGAGGGGATCTGCTGTAGCAACGAATCTGTAACCATTTGGACATGGTCGAAGAGTCGGACTGTTTCGGCATTATCGCTATGGGACCTATAGAGGCACCCGTAGACGCGCGGATGGTCGTCGCTGGCTACGCGTAGCCAAAGGATGGACAGGTCCGAACCTTCAAGACTGCCGAGGCGTCGAGAACAGATGTCCTCTCTGACGTAAACGCAAACTCCAGCCCGAGGCACAAAGGAGTGTTCCAGTTTGTACCCCGGGTAGGAGAGATACGAGACATCAGCCGAAGAGGACACCTGCGTCTCGGTCAAAGAGAGCAGAGCCGGTCTCGCCGTCTCGAGATGGTAGTTGACGGCGTTTAGGTTAGAGTGAAGTCCCCTGATATTGCAGAAATTCACGGACAGCGTGGCAGGGGTCGCCTTGGTCTTGTTGCTCCGTTTGCCCCGAGCAGTTGTAGTCTTGAGCGAAATTTTGCCCCCCCCCCCCCCCCCCCCAGAATACGTGAGGCAGCCTGAACACCCACGCTCAGAAGTGGAGTAAGCAGAGCTTCCACTTCACGCCGGTATTCTGTGAGGTCGTGGTACCACCCCGGTTTAAGCAGGCCTATACGTACAACAGCAAAGGTGTCGTGTGGCTCTACCACTGTTAAAAAGTGCTTCTGGCAGAGAGGGCCTCTTCGGTTCCTATCTCAGCTGCTATTAGCCTTTGCTACCTCTTCCTTGCTGTCCCACTGTGCTTATAAGGCCTAGCGAACTTTAAAAAAATTAAAGAAAAGAACCAGAGTAACCAACATAGCCCAGTGGATAATTAAATTGAAGTGACAGTGGACTGGCTATGTAGCTCGAAGGCTCTTGAGAGGCAGCCTCATCCTGGTAAGTGAAGTGTTGGGCGGCCCTTCGTTTGATGAAGCAACAATCTGCTAAGATATGCAGGAAGTTGATGAGTAGGTGGTTTGATTTAAATTTCAAGCGAACTACCTCACAATACTTAAAAATGCGTTTAAACATAAACATAACTCAAAGATTGGGTACAATTCTTTAATTATAATTGTTATTGAAGTGGAAACTTCTTTTGAATCGTCATTTGAAATTCGATGAAACGAAAAAGCTACATTAAAAAGAGACGAAGATACATTAGAACGTACATTCTCTCGAAGTTTAGTTTTCTGAAGGTTTCTCTTCTATCCCGTGTGAATTGCACACATGTATTTTTTTATTTTTTATTTAACAAATACCAAATTTACAAATAGTTTTATGTTGACTAACAACTATTACTTCTATTCTATGTGCGTGTCCCGTCGACTAACAATTTAACACAGACCTGAACTCACGCATGAAAGGAAGCGACACTCAAAAATCAATTGGTTACAGGCGGTGCGAGAGCGCGATCAATTTCGGATGCACCCGTACTCCAGGCCAGTCGCCACTGCTTCCCGGAAACAAGGACAAACAAAAAGAACGGAAAGGTTTTGAAACAAACGTGACAATATATTGAAATAAACGGTGGCTTAAAATTAGAATATAAAGTGACACTCGATTGAAGCAGCGGAGTGTTTAGATTTCAAACCTTATTACTTAAGATTAAATCACATCAAAAGAAGAGTATAATATATTTTTTCTACTTAATTTATTTATTCTTATACTTATTTTCTATAACTTTAATAAATAGTGTATTTTGTGATTATACAATTCTATTTAAGAATTTGGGCCAAATTAGTTTTGATTTGTAATTAATTTCTTTAATATGATTATTTATTGATTAGTTATCAACCTATCAAAGCACAAAGCACAATGTTATTACCAACGTAACTTTCAATCGATTTGTTCATCTTTATTGACAACGAAAATTATTAAACTAGGATAATAGAAATGTGTATGAGATTTTTAATAAATAAAATTGTTTTCTGTAGAAAAATAGCCACTTAAAATTGTAAATTTTTATTCTATGTGCTTTGTTTGTCTTGTATATTTTATTTAAGCTAACAAAATTTACATTAAAGGGACCAAATTCATCTTGTAAATAATATATTTTTATAGGATATTGATGGCCAAGAAAAACATAGGTACGGATGAAAACCGTTTTATATTTATCAAATTATCGATACTATTGTAGTCACAAAGCCATAATTACAATATCATTTCTGTTTGTGAAAAGAATTAAAATTCTTTTCGTAGTTTGGTCACCACTAAAAAAGATATGCGGAAGTATAATGTATTAGATTTTATTATTTGACGACGATTATAATTCTATATTTTGAATGACATGTCAGTTTGGTTTAAGTAGCTTTATTTTGGAATTTTATATAGCAAATCTCATTCATATTCTGTATATTTTCTTGTCTTTCTTCTGTACTTCTTTGTTCTGTCATGTTCTGTGACTAAAGATACATTTTTCAAATTATGTAAATTACATTTTTTATAGTTTTCTTTTCTAATTCCATTTTTTTTTGTAATCTTATACATTTTCGTTCGATATTTCATTGCCTTCAGTAAAAAAAAATCGATACAAAAAATAAGAAAAAACTCTATTAACCATCAAAAACGTTTTCATACGGTACGAAAACGTTTTTGATAGTAATATATAATTATGATAGTGATAGTAATATATAATTTTGATAGTAATATAACGTGTTTTGAATATGACAAATTTATTTGCGTTAATTTTATTTTGCCTAATCTTTGATTCACAATACGTATTTAAATCAACAACTACATAATGCATATATAATATATAATTAAAAACATTATATTAATATTGTTCAGTCACGTTTTAGGAACCATACAAAACAAAAAATTTAAAACAAGGGAAACATTTTACAGCTGTTCTAAAAATTGTTAAAATATTACTACTATAGTGTAAAAACCGCTATCCAGTTTAGAATTGCATTTTATGCCTAAGGATTATTAATATAAAGTTTTTAATAATGCTTTAAATTCATAATTTAAGACGAAATAGTAATATTGTCTTACGAGAGAGAAGTTGATTTATTTATTCTTCTATTGAGGTAAGTCGTGTTTTTATATTTTTATAGTCTATGTTTAATTTTATTTTGAATTAAGTTTTAGTAAAATTGTCATTTTGTTACTATTTGTGTGTAATCGAAGTATTTTTAAGGCAATAATTTACTGGAATACAATAATATTTTTGCATTTACTACGATTATGAATAATTTATAATTTCTTTATGTTTGTGTTATAGATTTTAATTCAGAGAAAATCTACTTAACACTGTTTTGTAAGTATTGTTAATTGTCTTATTTCAAAATGTCTCAATAATATTAGTTCTTTATTAAAATGGTTTTGCATAATAGTTTTAAGCGTTTCATTTTAATATAGTTCATCAATCATCATCATCATCATTATTACAGCCCAACACAAGTTCACTCTCCCAAGGAATGCCACAAATCACGGTCCTGAGCCACCTGCATCTATCGACTTCCTGGATCTCTTACTAGGTCGTCACTCCATCTAGTGGGGGCCACCCTACTCTGCTACCGGTACAAGGCTGCCACTCGAAAACTCTTCTTCTGCATCGGATTATTGGTTCTTTGAACTATATGGCCAACCGCCTTTTATTATAAAATTAAATTTTTAAAAAACAAACGACTTCAGAATACTTGAATAAGAATGAAAATACTGATGTGTTTACCCTTGAGAGCTTAAATGGAATGTCTCGTTACCAGAAAGACTGGTATCCGAACCTAATCATACGAAACATGAGTTTCGTATGATGAGGTTCAGAATAACATGCTGTTGTGTTTGAAAAACAGCAGCATGTTATTTAAGGGGACTACAAGAGCCAAGTGACCTCGAATGATGCACGCACACATTTACACAACGTGTACGCCATCTAACGACAGTGACGTTAAACTAACGAATTAGTGAGGTTGGGCCCCGAGTCTTTTAATAGATAGAGCGCAAGTAAGATATAGATCCAATAAACGAATATATGGGACAATGAAATTATTTATAGATTTTTACTTGAAAATTTAAGTTTTTTTTTAGTAGTTAGTAGTTTTTTTTAATCTTAAATTTTTGTTGTGGGTGATTTTTAAATACAACTGATTCGATGAAACTTTATGAAATTCAAACTTAATGAAAAAAAAAAACATTATTAATTAAGATCCTTAATTCCACATTTAGTTTCAGATGTATTATAATATATATACAAAAACATGTAACAAAAACCCTGTGGTTCCCGTTAACTGCGTTATCAGAATCAGTATCCAAGCATATAGAAATATTTTTTTTTCAAAAAAAAAAAACATTTAAAAAAAATAATTTTAATGAAAAAAAAATTTAATTTGCAAATTGTACGTGGTTTTATTATCTCTCCATTGGCCGAGGAGCAAGAGGATTGTCAAAGACCCGTACCGATACTCGTGTGAATTAGAGGAAATAAAACCACATACAAATAAAATTTTTTTCATAACATTTTTTTAAATGTTTTTTTTTTTGAAAAAAAATATCTTTATATGCTTGGATACTGATTCTGATAACACACCTAACGGGAACCACAGGGTTTTTGTTACATATTGTATATATTGATTCATGGGAAACAACTACTCATACGCGCGCTCCTGTCTGCGATTCAATTCACGACGTTTTTATGAATCGTTACGTATATATTATGACCTGTGTACTATAAGCTTCTTCCAGTACTTGCTCCGGTGAATTATATTTACTTATATCAATAATTTCGCAATGATGATTTTCCTGTTCCACTGTTTCCATTCTAAAAAAATGAGGTTTTTAAATTACGTAGTAATGTTAATTCAAAATACAGTGGAGCCCCGGTAATCCGGCACCTGGCTAATGCGGCGCCCCCTATAATCCGACATCGTCTATTACATACATGCTCAGATCCTATAAACAACAGGAGATATGCCCGGTAGTTAAAATGTATCGGAACCCGGTGTCTCCAGTTTGCCCCCGCCACTCGCCAACTACTACACATGCAGTTCATTAAATTGATAGATACGCAGTAGCGCACACACACGCATTCACATCTCTAACTCACAAAAGCCGGCAGCGGCTGCTTCACGAAACTATCGTGTGAGTGAGAGTATCAGTAAAACACTTATCCATTGCGTTATTAGACCAGCTGATTCACAGGTTGATTTGTACTAAGCAAGCAATGGTTTTTGTTCCTAATGAAAACATTTGATTTGGTTTTTCATCGTGTTTCTAGTAGCACGAAGTAATGTTTTAATAAATTGAATAAGAAAAACATTAATATTTTAGTACTTACGTGTGAAATGAGATGCCATCTTTCATGTAATTCAAAAACAGCTGTTATTTTTGCAAACAATCACTGAACAATGCGGCATTTTGTCAAAAATCACGAGCAGTGAAGACGTCACAAGTTGACATTCGACTAATTACCGAAACTGGCATCAGGCCGCTTTGCGGCCAGATGCGTTCGCAAGTGCCACGCCTCCTTGCCATATCTCCTGTTGTTTATATGATCTGAGCATACATGTATTCGCTAATGCACGATTGAACAAGTTACAACTTGTACGCAACATTACTATTGTGCTCGACGCGTAGGGTATTGTTTTGATTCTGATTGTTTAGTTTGACTACATACATACATGAGAGAGGATAGTGGTGCGGCCTAGCGTGTGTTCATTGTTTACTGTTTATTCATAGTGTATTACGTATACGTACCTAGTAATGTAGTCTCAAGCTCAGAAGCGAAAGCACAAAACACTGACAAATAAAGAAACCGCCTAAATCGTAATGAATCTTTCAGTAGTTTAGCAAGTGAATACGGCGTAGGCCGATCTACAATTTATGACATTAAAAAAAACACGAGAAGATTAAACAGTTCGTGTCAACTACTGACGGTGGGCCAGGCAAGAGACAGACACTCAAAAAAGCTGAACACCCAGAAGTGGAAGAAGCTTTATACATGTGGTCATGTGGTTTCTTCAGGAAAGAAATAGGCATGCGCCTATTTCGGGACCCATGTTGGCCATGAAAGCTAAATATTTTTATAAGGAAATAATAAAAAAAGATGATTTTATGGCTAGCAGGGGCGGCTAGAACGTTTTAAAAGTCGTCATGGCATACGTTTAACGTTACAGGATAGAAACTTTCTAATGATGCCACATGCATAGAGCCATTTAAATTGAGATTTTTGCAAAAGGTGAAAGATTTAAAACTTAACCCGTCACAGGTGTACAATGCAGACGAATAAGGGCTTTTTGGCATGTATTACCTAACAAAACTTTTGTTTCCTATGACGAAAAATCCGTACCTGGACGAAAAGTAAGTAAAGAACGTGTAACCATACTACCATGTGCTAACGCTCCGGGTACACACACGCTAAAGATAGTAGTCGTTGGAAAATCTAATAAACCACGTGCATTCAAAAACATTGATTTACCTGTACACTATTTTGGACAAAAAAGTGCGTCGATGACAAAAGATCTTTTCAAAAAGTGGTTTGATGAATGCTTCGTCGCCACTCCTACCAACGATCCACAAATCAGTGTACCTTCGGAAGTAATAGAGCAAATTGCTGCTGAAACACAAATAAGTCCGGAAAATTTGGAAACCTGGTGGCGTGGAATGGATAAAGAGAAAAATATTTTTCACAAAATGTCTGACGAAGAGATTATAAAAGAGATTTCTAGTTATACAACAATTAATCAGGAACATGACGACGAAGTAATTGCAACTACTCCGCAAGTGAAAGCAGAATATGCAATTAACGCCTTTGAGCTGGGTTTGCAATGGGCTGAAGAAAATGGTGCATCCTACAACGAACTTCTACTTTTGAGAAGACTGAGGGACAAAGCTTTAATTTCGCGTTTCAACAATGTAAAATAAAAAAAATTGATGAATATTTTCATGCTTCTTAAATTGATTGATTCATATAGTTTGATTATTTTAGTACATATAAGTACATTTGTTTGTACACAATTATTTCCTAATGTAAAGTTATTGCATGTTTTTTGGTAAATTTTATAGCATTAATGACGTTAATTTTTTAATAAAACGTTATCTTTCTATTGTGTTGTTTAATTTACTAAATTTGACATACATAACGAAGTATGATTTGTAATCTTATCATTGGATCTGTGATTTATCGCATTACAAGGTACTATTTTCTAAAAAAATTCGGACTATAGGGCGTCTTAGGCAGTACTCTATAATCCGACAATTCGATAGTTAGACACTGCCCTGCAAAGTGTTTGTCGCACTACCGGCGATCCACTGTATTCTAGTTCTATGGTTTGCAAGATAAGTAATTTTGCATTTCGTTTATTTTTTGTATTTCACTTTGAAATATTGTTGAGCTACAAGCAGGCATCTGTCACTCTCGCTACCTGTGTGAAATAATTACCTAAAATCGCGAGTCACCGACGGTGTTAGGGTAAGGGTCCATTTGAGATGGGTCAGGTCGCAACGGTGCGGCAAGCATTTTGCGTAGGCATTGCGTCGGCGATTTTTTACAGTCATTCAATTCAATTTTCAGTCAATAGTCAGTTCATTTTTTACGAAAATACATATGTCCCGCTCATTGCAATGTCTACAATGTTTGCGCTTCATGCGTCCACTGGCAGCGGGGCGGGCAGGGCCGAGTCGCATCGACGGAAAAGACGCTTGCCGAGCGATACGCCGACGGATTCCGTCCCGTCCGGCCCGCTCCGCCTCTAATCGACGCGGTATCAACAAAATGTATAGCAAGCGGATTTTTGCGTTGCGATGCGACCCGATGCAGCTCGCCTGGTGGACGCTAACCTTAATACGCACTCGCTGTTAGCGCGTTGTAGGCGATTGGTCAATTTTAACTCTGTTTACGTAAATAGTTTTTTGTAAACACTTTTGTAATTTTTGTTTGTATTTATTTGTCGGAAAGTACAATAGGATAAGCCAATTCTGTGGGAAGTAACAGGATAGCGTTAGTTATTAAAAATGGTAAAAGTGTGAGACATTTGGTAATTCAATCGGCAGTTTTATTGTCACGTACCCTAAGCTACTGTAATACTGTTACGATTTATCCTTGTCACAATCCGGTACGGTCCTTCCCATTTAGGTTAAGTTTAGGAGATTTCCCTTTGCTGCGGACTGGATTGTGCAACAAAATTAGTGAACCTTTGTCAAACCCCTTGTTGTTAATTTTGTGACCATACCGGGTTTTCATCTTTTCAGACATTCGCTGGCCCGATTGTCTGACGAGCTCATAAATTCCATTCATTTTGTTCCGCAAGTCATTTGCATAATCGGTTATGCTGCTTAGGGCATCAGGTGGTATCGCGGTGATCAGGTCTGCATGCAGCCGTAATTCTCTTCCAAAGTTTGCGAAAGCTGGTGTCACTGATGTACTTTCGTAAACAGCGCTTCGATAAGACAACAAAAACGGTGGTATGTGCTTGTCCCAATCTCGTTGCCGATTTTCCACAACTTTTGCTAGGTACCTCTCCAATGTCCGATTGAATGGTTCTACCATTCAATCAGATTGTGAGTGGTAAGAAGTCGTCCTTGTTTTATGAGTATCCTTAACTCGGCAAGTTTCCTGAAATATTTGAGACCCCAAAATAGATGTTTTGCATTGACGGTCCTTGAGCTCCTGGAGTGCGATATCGCAACTTTCATTCCAGCAGAAATGCCGCTTCTCCTCGGTTAGCTTGTGCAGAGGTTTGGCTATATCTGCAAAGTTTTTCACAAATCGCCGACAATAGGAGCATAAACCCAAAAATGTTCTAACCTGCGTCTTATCTTTTTTGGAACCAGCCAATCCTTGACAGCGGAAATTTTCCCTGGATCTGTGCGGATACCTTCTTCTGACACTAGCTACCACAAAAAGTTAACTTGCCGTTTGAATAGTGAACATTTTTACGGACTCAACTTGAGGTTGGCACTCTGAATCTTCATGAGCACGAGTTCCAGGTTTTGAAGGTGTTCCTCAAACGTACGGCCTACGATAATGATGTTATCCAAGTACATCAGACAGGCACCGCCAATTAGCCCGGTAAGTACAAGTTCCATCAACCTTTCAAACGTTGCTGGAGTATTGCACAATCCAAACGGCATTACTTTAAATTGCCACAGACCCTTTCCCGTCGAGAACGCAGTTTTCCCCATGTCTATAGGGTCAATTTCAACTTGCCAGTAGCCACTTTTTCATGTCATCATGTCCAGCGTATCATCAATTATTGGCAAGGGATAGCTGTCCTTTTTCATAACGTCGTTCATACGGCGGTAGTCAACACAAAACAACATGCTGCCGTCCTTAACCAGCACCACGGGTGAACACCATGGACTAGATATTGATTCAATAACACCATCCTTCACCATTCCCTCAATCATGCTTTCCACTCCCTTTTCACGTGCTACCGGCAATCTTCTTGGCTGCTGACGGATAGGCAATTCTTCTCCTGTATTTATTTATCTCCTGTATTTATTTATTAATCGATTATAACTCCTTTAACTTTAAAATAAGTTAAGTTCTTATTAATGGTATTTATTCCAGTTTACGATGCATGTAAAGAATAAAATAAAGCTAATCGTATATCGTATATCTATTTACAGCCCCATTAATATCCACTATTCTTTTATAATTATTTTATAAAAACGTTACCCCCACACTTGGATTTTCTCCTGTATTGCGGAGGCAGCTTACAAACATAAATTGCACAAGGACACACATCCAGACCCGAAACAATTATTTGTAGGATATACAAATACTTGATCCATGCGGGATTCAAATCCGCGGCCGGCACAGCGACTCATTGCTGAGCCACTGCGCCACGGTGCTTATAAATTCGTCCGCACATTGGCCCGAACCGAAGTAAACTGAACGACCTTCCAACGGTGGACGCCGTCACCAACTCTCGGCCATTATGTTCGCCACTCCATTCGCCACTGTGTTGGCCAACGTGTAGAGGCGACATAAAATAAAATATATTCGTCCGCACATTGGCCCGAACCGAAGTAAACTGAACGACGTTCCAACGTGTGGACCACAGAACACATTTACCCTGACGGGGTGTGGACGCCGTCACCAACTCTCGGCCAATATATTCGCCACTACATTCGCCACTGTGTTGGCCAACGTGTAGAGGCGACATTAGAAAAGTTGTAGGTGTACCTACGCATTTGAAATAGTTTTCGGTTGATATAGATAGATAGATAACTCTTTATTACATTTGAACAAAGTTATTACAATAACGGAAAACTTATGATTACAAACGGTGGTCGTTGTGAGGCAGAAATCGCTAAGCTATTTCTGCCTGACAAACCGAACATAAAAGGACATTATTATTTTATATTATGACGGATAGATGCAAAGTGCAATATGAAATAAACAGATTTTTTTAAATAATATTATAATAATATATTAGTAAATTAAAATTATTGTACACAAACACACACACACACACACACACACACACACACACACACACACACACACACACAATATATATATATATACATATATGTGTACAGTAATTTTAATTTAATATATTCAAATATATATTGCAGAGAAAATTTAACAAAAAAATTATCAAGTATTTATGAAAAGAGGAAATACATATAATTTATTATTATGACGGGAACTTCAAATAATATCCCTTAAGTAGTTTTTTAAAAGACTGTAAAGATTGCGCTTTCTGAATGTTAAGTGGTAATGAATTCCAAAGTCGCGTTGCTAGTGAAGTAAATGATTTATTATAAAATGAGCTTACACTGTAAGGAGTATTTAAAGCCAAGCTATACACTGAATGCAAATTGCGTCAGAATTGCAGCGATTCCTAAGTATCCTGTACTTTTCACGATTTATATTACAGGGGTCTTTTTTAAATTTGTAGGAAAAAAGGAGCCAGCGGATGCTTAACTTTAATTTTTTTTATAGGACTAGATATAATTTTTTTTTATAGGATAGGGTGACAAACGAGCACACAGTCTACCTGACGGTAAGTGGTTGCTGCGGCCCATAGACATCTACATGTATCCTTAATTACAAAACAAAATGCAGATGCGTTGTCACCCGTGAGGACTAAGATGGAATGCCTCGTTTCCAGTAAAAATGGTCTCCGATTCTTTACACCCACCATACGAAATACAGCAGCATTAAGCTACTATTTCACGCTGGTATTCTGTGAGAGCGTGGTCCTTCCCCGGTCGAGCCGACATTCGTGCTACAACTACTAACCTAACCTAACCTAACCTAACCTAACCTTTTTTTTTTTTTTACGGGGGGGGAAATCCTCATGGACTGCCTCTGCCTGGGGACAGGCGGAGGGGTGTGCCGGACTCTTACCGGCTAAAACCACCCCGGTGTCTCCTCGCACGTGCACGCGCGGGGCCGCGGGAATCCAAATTCTTCCGCAGCCCCACACTAGTGCTGGCCCGGTCTGTACGGGCCTCGTCTCCTGCACGGGGTAGTGAGGTGTTCAACTACCCCCTGTATCACCTCAGAGGCACGCGCCGACACCCACGCGTGCCTCCGCCTCGGGTCCATCGAATAGGGGGGCGGGGGGCTTCCCCTAGTCCCTCGCCCCTGGACTTATTCATGGGGGCTGGAAAAGGGCGTTGTCCGCCTTTCTCCTGCGCCCGGTGCGCCTTCTGCGGCCAGGGAAGGGAGTCGAGATCTCCCTCTCCCGTTCCGCAGTTTCCTTCTGCGACATCACGTCCTCACAGAAGGACACCACTGCATCCCACGATTCTGCGCTACCGACCATACTCCGCACCAAGGCCGACAGCGACAAATCGCCTCCTACTACATTTGTGAGGACACGGCGCTGCTCCTCCCAAGCTACACACTCGGCGAGCGTGTGTTGCGCCGTGTCCTCCCCGCAATGGACGCAGTGGTGGCACCGAGC